TTGTTTTTGTTTTTGTTTTTATTGTTGTTGTTCGTTTTTTTTTCCACGTGTTGCGTCCACGTGAGAACAATGCCAAAGGAACGGTTCACTTTCCCACCGATGACCTCGTTCGTCCGGCTTGATGCGTCGCCATTAATCGGAAGAACGCAACGACTTGCAGTGTTAGACCTCTGCGATTGCCAGGAAGCACGTGGCTCTAATTTGGCGCGAGAATTGTTAAACATGGCGGGAAAGCGATTTCATTAGAATTCTAGTGAAATAAGATGGAAAATAAAACGAAGAATAAAATAAAGTTGGGGCACTCGTCAGATTGTGTGCGTGTGTGCGTAGGCGAGATAATAGAATGTAGATCTACTTGTTGTGTTCCCAAAGAAACGTTTGCGTCAACCATAATTATTTACTTGGGATTGCGAGACATGTACCAAAACACACAGATAGATAGATAGATAGATAGATAGATAGATAGATAGATAGATAGATAGATAGATAGATCACATACTGAGAAAATTAGACACTATTAGGACATATTGAAGAAAAGAAAAGAACCATATCACTTACGTAACGATCTTGCGTAAATGATGGACAGAAAAACGATTAGTAGATACAACAAAAAGACTTAACTAAGCGCTACAAAGGAAAGGAAATTGTGGAGAGTCATGATCGCCCACCTCCTCAAGGTACGCTACACAAATAAGAAGAAAAAGTATTAGCTTGTGTAAATGGTTTTCAGGACAAGGATTATAAGAGATAGCAGAAAGGACAAAACTTGCTAAGCGCTACAAAGGAATGGAAATTGTGGAGAGCCATGATTACCAACACCCTCAATATATGCAGCACAAAGAAGAAGAAGAAGAAGAAGAAGAGGAAGAAGAAGAAGAAGAAGAAGAAGAAGTATCTTGTGTAAATGGTTTTCAGGGCAAAGATTAGAAGAGATAGCGAATGGACAAAATTTACTAAAACGCTACAAAGGAATGGAAATTGTGGAGGGCCGTGATTACCAACCTCCTCAATATACGCAGCACAGAGAAGAAGAAGAAGAAGAAGAAGAAGAAGAAGAATTAGCTTGTGTAAATTGTTTTAAGGACAAGGATTAGAAGAGTTAGCAAAAGGACAAAATTTACTAAGCGCTACAAAGGAAAGGAAATTGTGGAGAGTCATGATCGCCCACCTTCTCAAGGTACGCAGCACAAAGAAGAAGAAGAAGGAGAATTAGCTTGTGTAAATGGTTGGCAGGACAAGGATTAGAAGAGATCGCAAAAGGGCAAAATTTACTAAGCGCTACAAAGGAAAGGAAATTGTGGAGAGTCATGATCGCCCACCTTCTCAAGGTACGCAGCACAAAGAAGAAGAAGAAGGAGAATTAGCTTGTGTAAAATGGTTGGCAGGACAAGGATTAGAAGAGATCGCAAAAGGCAAAATTTACTAAGCGCTACAAAGGAAAGGAAATTGTGGAGAGTCATGATCGCCCACCTTCTCAAGGTACGCAGCACAAAGAAGAAGAAGAAGGAGAATTAGCTTTGTAAATGGTTGGCAGGACAAGGATTAGAAGAGATCGCAAAAGGGCAAAATTTACTAAGCGCTACAAAGGAAAGGAAATTGTGGAGAGTCATGATCGCCCACCTTCTCAAGGTACGCAGCACAAAGAAGAAGAAGAAGGAGAATTAGCTTGTGTAAATGGTTGGCAGGACAAGGATTAGAAGAGATCGCAAAAGGGCAAAATTTACTAAGCGCTACAAAGGAAAGGAAATTGTGGAGAGTCATGATCGCCCACCTTCTCAAGGTACGCAGCACAAAGAAGAAGAAGAAGGAGAATTAGCCAGTAAAATGGTTGGCAGGACAAGGATTAGAAGAGATCGCAAAGGGCAAAATTTACTAAGCGCTACAAAGGAAAGGAAATTGTGGAGAGTCATGATCGCCCACCTTCTCAAGGTACGCAGCACAAAGAAGAAGAAGAAGGAGAATTAGCTTGTGTAAATGGTTGGCAGGACAAGGATTAGAAGAGATCGCAAAAGGGCAAAATTTACTAAGCGCTACAAAGGAAAGGAAATTGTGGAGAGTCATGATCGCCCACCTTCTCAAGGTACGCAGCACAAAGAAGAAGAAGAAGGAGAATTAGCTTGTGTAAATGGTTGGCAGGACAAGGATTAGAAGAGATCGCAAAAGGGCAAAATTTACTAAACGCTACAAAGGAAAGGAAATTGTGGAGAGCCATGATAGGCTATATCCTGAAAGAAGAATGTGTACAAGTATTTTTTAAGGAAAATATGAACAAACAAGCACCCATTCACTGTAGCGGACGCTATAGAGAGCCATGATCGCCCATGTTCTGAAAGAAGATATACAATGTAGTTTTAAGGAAAAATGGAAACAAAGAAGGACATATAGACTGTGGCGGAAGCCGTGGAGTGCCATGAACGCCTAAGATCTGAAGGGACGCCGCACACAGAAGAAGAGGAAGAATATGCTAAATTTAGCCGAAATTTAAATTAAAATTTTGTTCCAATTCTTAACTAGTTCTTATCGACTAAAAATAGAATTTTCATCGTTTAGCATAGATCATGTTTCAAAACACAAAGACCTCCACAGACTTGAAAGCAAACAGGTCGCCATGTTTACCCCCAAAATGCAACAAGCGCACATTCTGAGAGAAAAAAAATTATAAAGAAACACACATTCCCGTGATAAGTGGCTATTTTCCGGAAGCAGAATAAAACGGAAGTGGATATTGTTACTGCCCACTCTTTTGAAGAAGAAAGATACATGTGCAGGTGGTGAAATTTTTAGAGGCTCGGTACGATAAATTGGAGAACCGAGTTCGAATTCCAGTGAATTAATATTCACTTTCGCACCAATACCCCTGGAAAAGGTATGAATCCATCTTTTCTCAGCTATATGTTAAATAGTAGGACAAGGCTGTACTTTCTAGCCGTGGTTGGCAACCATTATAGGAGTAAGATACTCTGAATTTAAAACCGTACGTGTCCCTAGTGAGACACATACTTGAACCCTAACTAAGGTCCGCTGAGCACTGGTCGGTTCTGTAGCTGTTGAAGAACCAGAAATGGAACTGAGAAGGTACACAGACTTGAAAACAAGTAGCCATGTTGAAGACGACAAATCATACTGATTTACGGTGTGCCTTCAATTCGAGTGAGCTCTGAAGACAAGATGACTCTAGTCGATGACGACGACATCGAAAATGACGGAGACAGTGATTTCAATTCTTTGTTACACAACTTTTTTAGAACATGAATATAATTTACTTGTGGTCATACCGGCTCGAATATAGAGCAGCACTGGACGGCAGTGAAGACTTTTTGGTTGTTGGTGGGGGGTGGGGAGGACAAGATGGCTCTGTCAACAATAACATCGAGGATGACAAAGGCATCTACTACGATAGCAACATCAATGAAACTGTCGTCTATCTTGTTATGAAACTCGTATAAGCTCGTAATTTTGTTTAATAATATTGCAAAGAAAACCACCGGAACAAAAGATTAGTGAATAAACCGTTTGATCACATGGATTAATAATACAAGAATAGTGAATAGTGGAGTTAGTGCGGCAATGCGCATGGCACGCTTTGCGACTGCTGAATTTCTCTCGTAGTGAATGAAAGCGTCAATATTCAACAATTTAGTGTAGCCAAGGTCGGTCGACTTTCTACCCAACATGTTTAGTTTTCCTGTATAATACGCATCTCTAATTTCAGACGTGAAACTCCACAGAAAAAGTATTATACACGAATAATCAGCGACGAAACAAGATAATATTTAGTTTTCCTGTATAATACGCATCTCTAATTTCAAACGTAAAACTCCACAGAAAAAGTATTATACACGAATAATCAGCAACGAAACAAGATAACATTTAGTTTTCCTGTATAATACGCATCTCTAATTTCAGGCGCAAAACTCCGCAGAAAAGTATTATACACGAATAATTACGGTATATATCTAAACCAAACCATAGGTATGCAGTTATGGTTAATGAGCTAGTATTGATAACCACTGCAATTTTATAGCCAGTTCGATTATTCTCATGTATCCAAAACTCATGACAAACTAAACGAAGCTTATTAAAACTCGAATGGCGTATCGCTGTAGCGTAATGGTTAACGAGCTGGACTAGCGGGCCATTAATATTGTCCACAGTTGGTTTTGTGGTAGACTGTATGAGGTTTCGTAAATAGCCGATTTGTTCTTATCTGAATGAAAATATATTTTGTTTCTTTTTTTAAAATGAATATGAGTTCTCTCCCTTGCATACACTGCTATCCGGCGTTATCTAATCTCATTGTCGAAGCAACGTTTCCCCACCCCCCCTTTCTCCGATATTAGTAAGCGTTGAAAGGTAGGTATCAAGATTTTTATGTTGTGGTCTAACCACAAAAATTAGCAAAGCCGGCACCCCCGCCCAATGTGCACCGACTAATCAGTTACGCCACAACTCAAGTGCGGGACACGCTCTAGCATGGTAGGTGGGGCACAAATTCTTTCGCGTTGGCTGTTCAGAATAGAGTCTCGGTCTTGCTGGTTCACTCGCGTCAGATTTCCTACTTACTTGTATGCGAGAATGTCAAAGAGGTAACGGCCAGAATTCACCCGAGTGGAAAAAAAGGACGCAATGATGACCAATGGAGCTGAAATGCCAGTGAAAATGTCAATTAAAGGTCAAAATCATCTGTTATGTCATACATTAGCGAATACACACACACGGATTGGTAATGAACTGAGATAGATAGATAGATAGATAGATACATACATACATACATACATAGATGATAAAGAGACTGAGATAGATAGATAGATAGATAGATAGATAGATAGATACATACATACATACATACATACATACATACAACCATAGACGATAAAGAGACTGAGATAGATAGATAGATAGATAATAAAGAGACTGAGATAGATACATACATACATATATACATACATACATAGATGATAAACAGATTGAAATAGCTAGCTAGCTAGCTAGCTAGCTAGCTAGCTAGCTAGATAGATAGATAGATAGATAGATAGATAGATAGATAGATGCATACATCCATACATACATACATACATAGATGATAAAGAAACTGAGATAGATAGATAGATAGATAGATAGATAGATACATACATACATACATACATACATACATGATAAAGAGACTGAAATAGATAGATAGATAGATAGATAGATAGATAGATAGATAGATAGATAGATAGATAGATAGATAGATAAGAGACTGAGATAGATAGATAGATAGATAGATAGATAGATAGATAGATAGATAGATACACACATAATAATGAAACTGAGATAGATAGATACATATGTACATATATACATACACACATAGATAATAAAGAGACTGAGATAGATAGATAGATAGATACATACATACATACATACATACATACATACATGATAAAGAGACTGAAATAGATAGATAGATAGATAGATAGATAGATAGATAGATAGATAAGAGACTGATATAGATAGATAAATAGATAGATAGATAGATAGATAGATAGATAGATAGATAGATACACACATAATAATGAAACTGAGATAGATAGATACATATGTACATATATACATACACACATAGATAATAAAGAGACTGAGATAGATAGATAGATAGATAGATAGATAGATAGATAGATAGATAGATAGATAATAAAGAGACTAAGATAGCTAGCTAGATACATAGATAAGAGACTGAGATAGATAGATAGATAGATAGATAGATAGATAGATAGATAGATAGATAGATAGATATGAATTGACTCACAGTGGAACTTCATTTTGATGCTAATTATATTATTCTCTTTGATCTAAAAAAACAAAAACGGAAACTGTTCTCTCTGACTGGATTTCACGCTTATGAATCAACTCAACCTCCGTAATTTTGAGGAGAAATAAATTCACTTAATTTTGATACTTTTCTAAACCTTGTTTCCTCTAATTGGAGAACTTACTTATCAATCCACAAATTTCGTATTCCCGATGAGGACTGAAGCATCTTCATTGACTATCAAACTTCCATTAATTACTTATCCTTGAATTAGCTGTCAGCTCATAAATACCCCTCGACACTAAGGAGGCTCTTTAGCCAAAATGAGGAGATTGCAGTGCTTGTAGCATATGTGACACTCAAAGAAGCTCATCTTGCTAAGATTTATTGGATTAAGCTCACTAACCTCATTCTCATGGACCTTCATGTGTCTTTTCAGACCAATACTGAATTTACAGATTTTGCTACACATTGCCACATATCGTATATATATATATATATATATATATATATATATATATATATATATGAGCTGAAGTGCGATTTTCGCTTCTAGCGTCTTATATGCACGTGTTTATCGTTGCTTGGAAATCATCCATGTAAATAATCACAGACTATCATCACTGTCTTGTCCGTATATTGCTTAATATATTGTACAGTAATTGACATCTTTGATAATGGCTTATGTAAGCCGAAAGCTTAGATTGGATTAAAAAATATGGATCAATATTGTGATTTTCTTTCTTCGTTTAATGATAATGTTATTAAGCTTATCAGACATCAGACGTTATGAAAAGAATTTACATAAAATAAATAGACAACACTTGCCTATATTATTTAATGAAACATGTATGAATATATATATATATATATATATATATATATATATATATTGAACAATAAAAAATATTAAAAAAATTAAAATCTTCAGACACACTGGGTTGCATATTAATATTCTTTCGTTTTTATTATTATTTCACTTAGATTCCTCGACTAGTTTCGGCCAGCACGGCCATCATCAGGAGAAAAAAATTTCTGCTTGCTGGTAAAAGTGAACTACAGAAATGAATGTCTTGATGGAGAAAATGAACTTTTGTCTGTAGTTTTCATTTGCTTTTTTTTATTTTTTTTAACATGAATTTTGGTCAATTCTTGTGTTGGCCAAATAGTCTCTTTTAAGTTGTTATTTAAGATAAGAGCTGGATGGATTCATGCTGCTTTGAATTCCCTTGGTCATTTTGACAGTTTTATTGGTTCCTGAAAAGGGAATGTGTCTGTTAAGTTTGTGTGTGTTATTTGGTTCTTAAGGAGTGAGTGAGTATGATGTGTGTAAGCGTGTATATTACTGTGGGTTTGTGTTACCATTTGACTCATTAGGGATTAAGTGAGTATGATGTGTGTAAGTGTGTATATTCGTGTAGGTGTGTGTATAAGTGTTAGGCCTCAGCACCTCCGTAAGCATGTCAGTCTTGTGTGGGTGAGAAATGTGGGTAGGTCCTGATTTGTGGGGTTATATATTAATACTATCTATATTGTTCAATTTGTGATTGAGCCCGTCTGGGTAGTGCGTTTTTAAAAGTTGTATCCACTTATTTTCATGGCACTCTAAAATCTTTCTAATGTTATCTGCCCTGCACTTTTCTATTCTCTCAATTATAGTGAATTTGGCATGGGTTTTAAAATCGTGTTTTTCTAGGCGGAAATGTTGTTCTACAGATAATAATCTTTCATGGGGAGTCGACTTAATTCGATTGCGATAATTATTAATTCTGTAGTTATATATATATATATATATATATATATACACGTTTCATTAAATAATATAGACAAGTGTTGTCTATTTATTTTATGTAAAATTTTTTCGTATCTTCTGATAAGTTTGATAACATTATCATTAACCGAAAAAAGAAATTCACAATATTTATCCATTATTTTTTTAATATAATCTAAGCTTTCGGCTTACTCAAGCCATTATCAAAGATGTAATTACAAACATATCAAACAATATACGGACACGACAGTGATGATAGTCTGTCATTGTTTAGTTTACATAGTGGATCACTAAGTAACGATGAACACGCGCATATAAGACGCTAGAAGCGAAAATCGCACCGCATCTCATGACGTCACACATGCGATTTTACGAAAAACTTTTACATAAAATAAATAGACAACACTTGTCTATATTATTTAATGAAACGTGTATAAATGAAAATATGCTGCCTAAATACACACAATATATATATATATATATATAAAGTCATCAAGTCACCAACACTCCATAAAATAATAAAACATCCCAATCACCGAAAACCCACACGACGCCAAAAAAGTCAACAAGAGGCCAAAAGCAAAAACGCCAGTGACAACGGAAGACAATAAAGAAAAAAAGAAAGAAAAGAAAGAAAAAAGAAAAAGAGAAAAGATAACCAAAAGACGAGCATGCCCTTCATCAAGCGAAAACCACAGACTTATTGACTCACGTAGAAATGTAATAATAATAAAATCACATATTCACAACAGCATATAAACACGCAAAAATTGAAAATATCGACAGAAAACCCCGAAAAGCCCTGAAAAGTGAACGTGTTCTATACTTTTACGAAACTTCGAAGTCGGTATGACGACGGTGACATCGATCAGTTGTGACAATTTTGATATATTAATTTTATTAACGCTCTATGTCTGATATCAAGCACTTTACCACAGTCTGCTTACCTTAAATGTCTTCAGTCTTACAATTCATATATATATATATGTGTGTGTGTTTGTGTGTGTGTACCACTATATATATATATTTATATATCTTAACCACGCAACAGTGTGGTGCATGAAACTCCGAGTCGTGCTTCTTCGTACCATCTCCCTTCAGAACTACAATTGCCTGTCCTTTGAAGACCTCAGTAAATTTTGTCCTTTTGCGATCTCTTCTAAACCCTGTCCTGCAAACCATTTACACGAACTCATTCTTCTTCTTTTTTCTTTGTGGTTATATTTGATATATATATATATATATATATATATATATATATATATATATATATATATATATCGTGTATTTAGGTAGCAAGTAACCCTACCACGAAGATAGATCGGGCAAGCCAGTGATAATGATAATGTGCTGTTGAAATGGCTACCATGTTCACCTGACTTAACACCTTGTGAATTTTTTTCTAGGCGACTATGTGAAAAGACAGGTCTATATCCCCCTCTTCCTACAAGCCTAGAGGAACTTAAGCAGTGAATCACTTAGGCGCTGGAGAATGTTACGCAAGGCATGCTACGGCGTGTTTGGCAGGAGCTGGACTACCGGCTTGTCGCGTGTCGTGCCTCAGTTGGTGCGCATATTGAACATTTGTGAAGCTTTGTGAAATCGCTTATAAGATCTACATCCTTTTTGAATATCCTGTTCAAATTTTGATAAATAAATATTTTTATTGTTCAACATGGAGCCTATTTAATTCCGTTTGCCTGGAACCGACTTTCCCCATACTAATTCTGGAACATAGACTTATGTATAGGACGTCTGCTCAGAGAAACTGGGTCGCTAAGAGGGTCGCAGGGAGTAGCGTTGTGTCGTATGCATTGCCGCACTAAACTATTGTATTCGCTATTATTGTATTATTATTAATCCATGTGATTAAACCTTTTCTTCACTAGTCTTTTGTTCCAGTGTTTTTCTTGGAATATTATTAACCAGAACTACAAGCTTCTACGGTCATTATAGCAAGACTGAACTCCTGACAGTATATGCAGTGCGGTGATGATATGATATCGCTGGGTAGAGGAATTCCTAATCTGAAATCAACATCTAGGGTGGAGGGTTAACGTGATGGAATCAACCAGCACGTGTCCGTTACCAATCCAAGCCTTGAAGTTGGAGTACATCGACCGTGGCCTAACCTGGATAGGTACGGGTTGCACCAGGTCTATTTGCCCAAGATACGCTTCACATGAATGAATAACTCTTCGGATTTCAACCTAGATGTGTCGAGGTAACTAGCCCGGTGATCAGCTGCGCCGAATCATGGGAGTTGCTATTATTATTATTATTATTATTATTATTATTAAGTCCAGTTCTAAATTTGCCCATGAGACTTGTATAGAAAGACGACCGACCTGCTTTACCCTAAATTGTTTGAACTCGGTCACTTATTATGAGTAGAATGTCCGCACATAGGAACAGTCTCGCAAAGTGGGCCAAAAGTGTGTCGTACGCATTGCCGCACTGACTACGATATTCGCTATTACTGCGTTATTAATCCAAGTGATTAAACATTTTGTTTACTAATCTTTCGTTCCAGTGATTTCCTTATTTTGTAATATCAACGAACACTCGTTGTCACTTTCCGTAATGCTCGTTGTAGTAGAGACTATGTAATCGCAGACACAACTATAATACGCCGTTGAACAATACTGGTGTCAGGCGCCTTTGAATATCACTCACCCTAATAGTACTTGCTCGATAATACTCGTTCGAATAGCAATCCGTATAGTGATCCAGATAGAGAAATACTATAGTGAATAGAGTAAAGAATAGCGACTCTTATAGTAATAGAAGAGAGAATAAAAGTGCAGATCCGAATAGTATTAGAGGATAGACTAGAAATGAAGATCCGTATAGTATAGAGGATAAACTAGAAATTTATAATCGTTGGTCTTCAGCTACTTCCTACATATATGCGTTTCCTCTGTGGTTATGTGGTCTACTTAATTCAATAATGGGATCGCTTGTGTTTGCTCACTGGCGATCTATGTTCAAACTCAAGTGTCGGCAGCGACTTTATTCCTATATAACACCTTACAATTAACCAGAACTACGAACTTTTACGAGCATTGTCACACCAGAGATCTCAACTACGACTCTGTGCAAAATATGAGGGTAAATCAGAAAGTAAATTCAATTTTGAAATTACGCGGTAAAGCCAACAGGGAAGAGCGCTGATGGCCGACACCACGCGTACGCATAGTTCAGTCGAGTGGCAGGGAGCAACGAGGTCAGACGTAAGG